AAAAAAAAAGAAAAAGCAATCGAAAGAACCAGAAATATCCCCACTGATACCCACCAAGGGTTCGGAGCTTGAACCGAGTCGATCACCGTTTAAACGACGGATCATCGAAAGCACGGAGAGCAAAATTGCGTCGACATTCTAAAGATGCGTCTCACATTGTAATTTATGGCCTCTAAATAAAATGTTTTCGACTTCATAATCTACATAGTCATTATTGATCCAACTTCCATTGTGATGGGTGAACATCATTAACGTTGATATATTTTTACATAAAAATATTAAAAATCGTCTGCAAACATCGGGTTTAAAAATTAGTGAATATACTTATGGGCCATAAGTCCTCGCAATGGTTCGTGTCAATCCATAAACCCCTCATGTCGAACTAAGAGAAAGACTGTTGGTGTTGATTTGTCGGTCCGATGTGAACGCCAATTGGAAAAGCAAATAGCCCAATGATTTCGAATGAAACATAGAATTCAAGTATAATTTCGAATTTTTATCAAGGATGTTTAATAATTGCATAGAATTTCAAAGATTTTTATTTATTATAAAAAAATTAAATTAAAAAAAAAAACATTTGTGTATATCTTGTAAAATGTTTGTACAAATGTTTTACTTTAAATTTATTTACATAATTTAAATTAATTACGTTAATAGATAATATTAGCATACATTAAATATTTTAATTACATGAAGAAGAAGACTACATCTATAACCTGTATAAATAATTATAATGACATTACATTACAACAAATTTTATAATAAAATAATGAGTATTATACGAGGAACAATATTATGTAAAATTGTTATTTTTCTTATATCAAAGAATAAATATATATAATGAAATCAAAATTATATTATTACAAACATGTGAGCGAGATAATAAATTAATTAATTTACGGGCTAGCGCTACCAGACTCATGTTTAATGTCCCGACAAAAAAAAAAATGAAGTTGATAGAAAGAGGTAAAAAAATAGATGATCAAACTCGATCATTTTTTAGGCCTGAACGGACAAGCCATATGGTCCACTCATTTAATATCTCCCGTGAATCGCACGAGCTACTTAACGGACAAGCTCTATGGAAATGACTCATTTAATACTTTGTTCCGTGCATCGCACGAGCTACGTACTAGTTAGAAGAAAATGTACTATTTTTTGTATTGGACTATCTATTGGGTTATATTTATTTCCAATTTGATAAAGAAGAAATAAACAATTTATTGTTATTTGTTATGCACATAATTTTTTTTATTATTATTAATCAGTAATAAAAATCTTAAAATCTAATTTAAAAATTAAAATAGAGTTGTTTCTATTCTCTCTAGTTTGTAACTTAAATAAAGGTTAAATTTTAAATAAAAAAATAAATATTTTTTTTTTTTTTTATCAACATTCTTCAACACTTTGGTAATATCTATTATTTAACTCTTATTTAAAGAAATGTCATACACTATAAAATTAATAACAAAAATATATATATATATATTATACATATAAAATAAAGTAAAAAAAATTTATATATTCATTAAACCGGTTTGACCGGTCTGGCCACTGCATTTTTCTTTTCACCTTCATCTGCATCATTTTTTTTTTTGCAATCATCAAAATTCAAAATCAAGCCTCAATCAAAGGCGTTCCGCGTTTGACATCTCAGAAATTCTCCCTTCAAAATTTCAAAAATCACGCCTTTCCGCGCGTTGACGTTTGGGGGGCACCATCGTTGATAGCTCATTCTTGATCTGACCGCCATTGTTGATAGCTCATCCTTGATCTGACCGCCATTTGTAAGGTACCCTTTATGGAGTATTTATGTATGTAGGTATCTGCGTTGCTTGATTTGGTATAGCAGTTTCGTTATGGAAAATTGTCTGTTGGGTGAAGTTTGAATCAAAAAGGGGGAAAAAAAAAAGAAGCTGGAAAACAAGGAAGATCGGGGAGCTGCTGCATTTGTTTTTGTGTGCGGGTTCGTGCAGAACGTTTATTTTAAGTGTGTAATTTAGGTAATTTTAGAAGGCAAATGGGAAATTCTGTGTCCAATTTGTGCAAGAAAGATGGGTATGTCACTGGATGAATTCTCTCTCTCTCTCTCTCTCTCTCTCTCTCTCTCTCTCTCTCTCTCTCTCTCTCGAGCTCGCTCGCTCTCAGTCTCATGTTCCTTTCATACATATATCTTTAGTTTATCTGAGGAACAGTTACGTTTGTGGCAGCTGTTTATAATACTATGCATATTTTGGACCAGGATGTTTTTCACAGCCACTGAGGAGCTGGATTCATACTATCCCATTAGAACTGAATGCCAGGATGATGTCCCCAAGACCCGTTTTAAAGCAAGGGTAAGCAAGAGCATTTTGTTCATATTCTTTTTGT